TCAAATCAGATCTGACTGGTACAGGAGGATATTGCGCCTCCTTCTCCGGCAGAGCGTCTGGTGGATTCGAACCGTGTTCCTCTGGGATTGCAGTTCAGTTTCTTGCCACTAGGCCACCAGAGCTCCCCTATTAGTTACAAACATTTATACTAAAGATCTTAAACGAAAAAAAGAACTGAGAAGGCTGAGCTGTGAGTGCCAAGCCAGGTTAAGATCACTGCCATCAAGTAGAAATCGACTCACAGCTGACGCTGAAGCAGGACTTTCCAGGCTCTAAATCATTCAGGAAGAGACTGCCCAACTTACCCTTGCAGTGTGGTGGGGAGATTAAAATCACCAGAGACCAGCCACCTTTTGGTTGTCAGAACTGCTCTCTGCCAACTAAGCCACTGAAGAAGGTGTCATTAGGTTAAGTGGTTGCTGTCCAGTGGACTGTGACCCTAAGCACAAAAGCTCTCAACCCTGCCCTATCCGCAGCAAATCTCACTGTTTCCAACACAGCTACCCCCATTAATCCTGTTACTATGTCAACCCATCTCATCCAGGTCTCCCTCTCCTGCACTGTCCCTCTACTCTTCCAAGCCTAATGTCCTTCTCCAAGGAACATGTCCAAAGTATGCGAGACAGAGCTTCAAAATCCTTGCCTCAAAGGAGCAATTTGTTTTTACCCGCTCGAGGACAGAACTGCTTGTTCTCTTCATAGTCCATGGTATGTTCAATGCTCTTCTCCAGCACCACAACTCAAAGGCATCAAGTCTTCTGTTAACCTTGGTCACCGTCAAGCTCTCTGATTTTTTCAGCAAGAAACTGCAAAGATCTCGGCTTGGATCAGGTGCAGCTTAGTCTCTAGCCTGATATCACTGCTCTTTAGCATGCATACTGAAGCAGTCGCTTCAGATTTTCCCACTGCAATTTGTCTTTTGATTTCCGGTTGTGCCAAGAGTGTTAACTGTAAGCTCAAGCAAGATAAAATTGTTAACAATCTGAATCTCTTTTCCATCTATCAAATTGTTAACTGGTCCAGTGGTGAGAATCTCTGTCCTCTGAATTTTGACCTGCAATCCATTTGGAAGACTGCAGTGCTTGGCCTTCTGCAGCCAGTGCTTCAGGAACTCTTCAGTTTCAGCAAGTAAGATTGTGTCATTTGCATAAACCAGGTTTTTAATGAGTGTCCCACAGAAGAGTTGGCAACCTTGAACCCTGTATGTGCCTTTGGGATTGCAGCACAGCTTCTTGCCACTAGGCCATCAGAGCTCCCTATTTTCAAGACATGCGATGTTGTTACACTTAGATGACATCAAGTCAACTACAAATCATTGAGATCCTCTGCACAACGGTCTGAAACTTGCTATATTCTGTGCCATCCAGATTTCTCTGCTACTCACACCCACTGTGGTAATCACTGTGTCAATTTATCTAATTGAGGGTCTTCTCCTCCTTTACTGACCCTCCAATTTCCAAGCTTGATGTCCTTTTCCAAGGACTGGTCCTTCCTAACAACGTATGCAAAGCATGTGAGAGGAAGCATCACCACCCTTGCCTCTGAGGAACACTACTGACATGTTCTTGCAGCAATCGGTATACCATGGACTACCAAATGCACACACAAATCTACCTTGCAGGAAGGACACTTGCTAAGAATTGAGTACTTACTTTGGTAATGCCTGACTGAAAAGTGAGGTGGCTGGTCCTATCATAGAGATACGCTGCACCGCTCTGGTAGGAGACACATCTCCCAAGAGAAACTCACTGGGGGATCATCGAAGATGTTCCAATCTGTTGGCAATCAGAGACTGCCAGCAACCCCTTGCTGATCAGTGAGCAGAGCTCAGGTGACACAGTGGTTAAAGGCTGGACTAATTGAAAAGTGAGTTCAAACACAAGGCTGTCAGCAGAAGAAACACCATGCAGTCATCTTCCCAAAGAGTTAGAACCCTAGGATGCCAAGGGTCGGTTCTACTCTGTCCTGCATCGTATAGAAAGAAGTCAGATTTGACTCCAAAGCAACGAATGGGTACATACTGAGAATGCTTTTAAAGAAAATTCTTTTACAACTGGTCGCTCACAAAACGGTTTTCCGTTGTCACACATCTCAAACCGACACTCAAGCCTCCTGAAGACGTACGCAGCTAAACGTCTTCCTTTTGTTCCTTCCACTTCTAAGACATTAGCTTCTTCTCCTGCCCCCAACATGGGTTTGCGGACGGAATGTTAACATTAAAAACAAAAACGAGGGGTTATCTTTTTCTTGAACTATCTTGTGTCTCCACCTGATCCTCGCAAACCTAACTGTAACGCAGAAAGTTCCCGCAAGCTGCTAGTTCACGAGGCAGAGAACATTTTGTATCAATAAGTGACAGCGATCATCCAGCCTATAATAAAGGGAAGCCACAGACATTGTAACACCACCGAATAAAGCTAACTTTAGTTGGGATCTAAGCATTTATTTCCTCCATAGTCCACGTTCTTTAAGCCAGGGAGGGACTCACCCCTTGCAAATCCCCCCTCCTCGCCTCAGATGCTCCAGGCTCAGAATGTTAAGTGCTAAAACAGTGGCCACAAGCAGCTTTAGACGATTGGAGCTCTTTGCAATCACTTGTTATGCATCAGAGAGTTGGACAATGACTAGGGAGGACAGAAGGAGAGTGGATGCTTTTGAGCTGTGGTGCTGGAGAAGAGTACTGAATGTA